GTTTGCATGTGTTTTCTGAAGTTGCAGCATGGTTTTTTTCTGTTTGCATGTGTTTTCTGAAGTTGCAGCGCGTTGAGCTCTCTCGGCCACCGTAGAAAACATACCTAACGCAGACCTAAATACATAGAACTAATCAACAACAAGAAGAAACAGCTGGTAAACACGGGGATTCCACACGGGGTAGATGAGGGGGTGTGGCACGCGGGAGGATCAGAAGAGCGGGGCATGACAGCAGCATACTGCTCCCTTTGCAGAGCAGCACAAACTAACTCTAACCACAATATAAAGAGGAGAGAGAGGCCCCAGTGCACAACTGAATGAGAGGATAAATATATTACAGTGTATAATTGAGAAATAGAACCTTCATAGGTCTGCAACTGGCAGCTTTTTTAGATAGTATCTGCAAAGGACCAGTCTCAACATTGTAGGGCCTAATACTATCTAGACACAATTCACACTGTCCCTTACCTATGCTCATGCGCACAAGTGAAGGGTGGCTGTGCATGCCCGAGCCAGGGAGGTTTTATTAGCCCAGGTTTTCAGATGTGTGAGTGTGAGGTTGGAATAAACAGGCCTGGTTTTTGGCACCTGACTTGTGTCAGCTACCTCTCTTTTTTCGCCGCACCACTTCTCTACAGTGGTGACCCCAATGTGCATTTCAGTGTATTTGTTTTTCGCTCTGACCATGTTGGCGAACGCAGTTGCACTCAAGCTCCAGGAGTTCTGGTGTGGACAGACAGTTTAGTTCATACAGGCAGAGGCTCCGATCTCCTTGCATGGTATTACAAAAGGCATGATGAAGTATTATTATTACGTTGTTGCAGCACTGAACAGCTTCACTGCGGCTATAGTGGTGAGTATGCTGCAGAACCCTCCCAAGGCACAACGTGCTGGTGGACATAAAACACTAATGCCTAGTTAATGGCAAGACATTCCATTCTGTGCCGTGCTCGTGCAGCAGTGCTGGTTCATCTCAGCTGTCAAGCACTTTGGGTGCACCTAAACTTTGCCCGCCTGCTCGTGGAATTCCCAGACCTGACCTGACCCACCCTTTCTTTAGTCATGGCCAAGCATCGTGTTGAACATCACATCGTCACGACAGAGGCGCTGGTCCATGCCCAAGCCTGATGCCTTGACACTGGTTAATTGGTCATCACTGAGGCTGAGTTTAACGTGTTGTAGTGCTTTGGCATTGTTCCATCAGCACCTGGGCCTCCCCTCTGTATATGGTGCCCAAGCCGGGTGGGGGATAATGCTGTGTGGCAATTACCAGCAGCCTAATGAAGTTACTACCCCGGATTGCTACCTGATTCCACACATTCAGGATTTTTCTGCCTGGTTGGTGGGGACATCCATTTTTTCAAAGGTCTACCATCAGGTCCCAGTGCATCCCAGACCTTCGTTACTTGTTCATCTATCTGGACAACATTCTGGTGGCCAGTAACTCCAAGGCTGACCATTTGGTGCACTTTCAGATCCTTTTTGAGTGTCTGAGCAACCATGTGTTAATCGTCAACCCACAAAAGTGTCAGTTTAGCTTGTCCTCCATTGATTTCCTCAGCTACCACATCTTGGGAGATGGGGCAATTCCGCTGCCTGCTAAAATGGAGGCCATTTCTGCTTTTCCGCAGCCAGCTATGGCCAGAGCCCTGCCAAAGTTCCTGGGCATAGTTCTAAATTACTATAGGCAAATAAATTCATTCTGGAAAAGACAATGCAAAAATGTCATGTATGACATAATTTTCAGTCCAAATAACAGTGCTTAAGTAACTGAGACCTAACAATGAATAATGAGTGGGACTGAGTCTAACATTTTCTGTCTCCTAGTCCTGCAGATCCAATTGTGTGGTACAGTTGTCAAAATGCAGTTCAGAGGGTCTAACTCAGTGGTTGTACACCTTATTGCACCAAGACCCAAATTTTACCATGCCAGCTTGATCGCAACCATATATCAAGTATAGGTTTACATTAATGCTATGATCAAGCGCAGTGCCCTCTGTAATTTAGACCAATCAATGCCTATCACACAAATTTGATTGTATGTGACAGTGAATTTTAAATTAAACATCTATGGTTTGACTTCTTGGATTGGTTAAGTGTACACTAGTATTAGACTAAGCAGTTGCAGACCCAAGACCCATTTAAATAGGTTAATTCTCCAACTCTCCCAACTCTGCCTTTCAGAACTTACTGCAATCCAAATTTGGGTTGCAACCTATGGGTTGAGAATTGCTGGTCTAACTGCTTGCAATAGTGAAGGAGCAGCAAAATATACTACTGCATTACCACATATCCACCACAAGAGGACACAGTTGCTGAACTCATGTAGCACATGAGATACCATTAGTTCCCAGTCTACAATGCTTTGCAAAGTACTTAAAGATTGTTTAAATGATTCAGTTCCAGCTAAACATTAGATATTATATAGATATTCATATGTGTATGAATATTATATTTATATTTTAAAGATAGCCTAAACTGCTGGCCAAAGATTTTAACTTATTTCTGTTATATTTTGCACATTCAAAATGGAAACTGAACTGACAATTATAATTATTCTTTAACAAAGTTACTTATTAGAGATTCTAATAGCATTAATTTCATTTGGTGCCTCAGCTATATCCATTTTGTAAAAAGAAGATAAATCATTACTAAGTTAAGCCTGTAATACTATCTAATAGCAGCTCCACTGCACTGCGAAGCTCCAGGTGATCTGGGTCTGATTGCACTGTACTCATGCATGTAGGGTGCTGACTCTGCACTTGTGAAGAATGTCCATAAGTTGCCCTGAGGCACTTTAATTTGATAATTAACTAAGAAAGTTATTTCACTGATTATTCAACCTACACTTTTTATTATATTCTTTAACTTCTTCAGAGTGGTCTCCTTCCATTATGCTATGCATTCTCCACTTGCTACATCCAGTCACAATTAAATAAAAAAGTGCCAATTTTAATCATTTTATTAAAACTCAATTTTATTAAATTTTATGTAAAACCCCACTAAATATAGCCTGCAGCTGTGAGGGAGCTGCAGATTAAAACGTATGTAGAGGTCGCTCAGCTCATTTAATGAGTGATGTATCATCAATGTGCCACTGTATTTGCACTAGTATCGAAACTCTTTTTATGCTCAGTTACTCAGTTTCAACTTAATATTTTATTGAAATCCTTAATATTAAATCTGGAGAACTCTAAGTGTAATACTTTCTAATGTACTTATATCCACCTTTTTAAAAATAACATGCTAATTCTACTAACACCCTTCAGTCAGTAATGCTTTAGCAGTTGCAGTTTTTCATGGGTACATCTACACTGATTTTTACACCTGCGTGCTGTCATTTTAGCCAATTCAGGAAGATTTGCAATTCCCTCCAACCAAGTCAAGATAAACTACTACACAAACATCCGTCCACTGCAGCAAAATCTTTTCGTTGCAAAGATGGATTTACACAAATGATGGGGGTGAAAACTGCAAATGTTTTGGCGGAAACTCCAGGTCAACATTTTAACAAAATATGTTTTCATTCTACCAGATTAGTCTAAGTTATATAGACACTATTGTTGAACATTTGTGAAATGAGCTGTGATGCATCTCTAATGAATTCTTATTGATGCTCTGTAAGATGAACAGTGCATAATGAAGCAAAAAATGGTAATGGAATGAATAATCATAGTTTATAAATCACAGTTTTACATAAGGATTGATAGGGTTATCTTGAATGTGAATAAATGGTCAGCCAAATTAAGCCATACACTTTTGTGGGTTAATGATACATATTATATTCGAAGGACTGAATGCTCAAAAAGCAAAAAATAAAAACAATGCACATACAATGTTCGTCCTGTTCCAGAACCCTATGTCCCCCTACCAAGAAAATTGATGATCATTTCACTTCCTCTGCAGTGATGTAGGTAATTCAGCCCCTGGACCTATTCTGCTTATGGCTATAGCCAGCCCTGCAAACACCATACAGAAGATTCTAGACTCTGGGGATGAAATTGAATAACAAGACAAAACTGATAAGAATCTGTGCACAAAGAACATCACAGTATCACTCCAAAATTCCAGTTTTGGGATTCCAGGTATCTCCCAGAAGAAAAACGATGGTGGTAATGAGATTCATCTTGACTCTGGGGCAGGAAATTCTGTCTGCAGCCATGAAAAGAGAAAAAGTATAATGACAGGTATACCTTTAGGGCAGAAACTGTTCTTATTTTATTATACAAGGGGGTCATTCAATTTATTGCCTGTTTTCACAGCCTTGAGGGGGATGATCCAGAACTACAGATTACTGGGCAAGCCTCATTCTCACATCCTTTTCAGTTTGTATGGTTATGAAGCATTAAAGTCCAGTTTGACCAATGTTACACCCTATTGGTTTTGTAAATCAGTTTATGCTTGTTTACAGTTTCAAAACTTTTTTGTCTATCAATAGAATAAACAAAATTTTATGCTATCCAATTATGACCTCTGTGATGGGCTGCTGCCTCATCCTGGGATGTTCCCTGTCTTGCATCTGTAGTTTTAAGGATAAGCTCCGGACCCCCGTGCCTGCAGAAGACAAGCAGGTATGGAAAATGGATGGTTTTGACATTGCACAGCACAATTAGTCATTTTTTCTACTTTTTAGAGATTTTTACAATATTTTTTTCTGAAAATTAAAAAAATAATAATAATTTAAATATGTGATTTTATCAGTTTTTCTTAATCCATGCATTTAAAACAGACTTTTCGAACAGTGGACTTTACAGAAAATAACTTTTAATCGCTATCTTACTTATATTACTTGCTGAGGTACTTTTTAATTGATAAGAGAATGTGTTCAGGCAAAGCACAGCACAGCACCCAATACACGATCTGAACTGAAAACTGAAAGAAATAAAAAGAGTACGTGAGGATGCAAAGGAGGAGAGAGGGGAGGAGTTTGGCAGATGGGAAGGTGTCGATCAGACAACAATGCTTAGCCACAGCAAGAGTCCGGCGCTGTGAGAAAGCGACCAGCCGGTGGAGGCGGCGCAGCTCCGGCGCCACGGCAACCACTGTTCGGTTCGATGCCATGACAACCACGGCAAGTTCATGGCGGAACCCTCAACACCGGCAGTAGCTGTCAGACCTGAACAGCACGGTACAAGCCATCCACCGAACCTAGGAAGCAGCAGCACAAGACTGGAACCTTTCCACATATCTTTGAATTGTTCTACATACTGAAAACTTTCAAGTATTTGCCACATTCACTCCAGTCAAGGGGAGCTCGCTCTCTCTCAGGATCTATTACTGAACAGCCATTCTCCACCCCCCAAAATGTTCTCTAATTATACAGTGCTTTTTGGCTTCTTGCTGTGACAGTGAATGTCATCAAGACCTCAAATTCTGGGTAAACATAAAGTTTGGCAATGGCATTTTTAATTTTTTTTGAAGAACAATTCTGAGAAGAGCAGTTCTACAAAATAAGCACGTATTGAACGGGCATAGTGTTGGTACTCCTTACCACTGGAGCTCTAGGTCCAAAGTTCTTATGCTGTTCTCCTACCTCTTGCTCCTCTGATTTCCTGTTTCTACCAAAGGGCCAAGCTGAAGTTCAGTGGGTCTAGCATTATGAAAATCGTCTGATTGCTGAGCTCCGACCACCGAAGGAATACAGAATCCACACCATAGCATCCTGTCTAGCCCTCTAATTAAATGCTAATATAGGCAGTGCAACAGCTAAGTCAGGTAAGTGAAATTTCCCCTTAACTCACTCCCTACTGCAAAATTCACTCAGAAAAATGCCTACTGGGAACATAAGAATGTACTCTGTTTTGAGAATGGTATGAATAATCAACCATAATTCATTGGTCTACAGTGCATATAAACAATGGTTTAAAGATGCAGCACTTATTTTTTAATGAGTAAGCTGGGACATGGATTCAAAAGAATGTTTCCATTTAAACAGACAACTGATTACTTTGATAAAGAGACTTTATGTAAATACTTGAAAAGATTAAATTTAATATCTACTTTAATTTAAAAAATAAGTTAGACTCAGTATTTTGGGTTGTGTCCTTGTAATTCTTCTAAACAAATCACTTGCCTGTTATTGGAGATTTCACCGATTACATTCTGTAATTCAGATCCATCAGATAAAAAGAGATTTGTGTGGCAGGGGCAATGGGTATGGGCATTAATTTGTAATAATTAATACCATGTTTTCCCAAGGTGATTATAATGTTCTGTGGTGCTGTTTTAGCATGGTTTGTTGCATGGTTTCATATTCTCTACTTATCTTTAAGTGGTCAGTACAGTTGTTAGTCTAAACTCATTTTGTTACCAAAGCTCAGCTTTCCAAAAGCAGACATTTTCCTTTATTAAAACTGTGTCTCATATTAAATGTGCTACTCTCCTCATCATTCAAAAGGGTCAGTATTGTAACCCAGCTGCAAAATGAGCAACGCCTTCAAGATAGACCAATCTAAATCCTGTATTTGTAAAGTTCTGCTTTTGCAAGCTACATGAGGACACACAGGACCATCTGCTTCTGTGTATGTGCAGTCAAACTATAAGACCTTTCAATTTCACAACATATGATTGAATTGTTTAATATAATTATTCTGCTAAAATAACATCATAAACAAAGTGTAAATAGTTATTGACAGTAAAATTAATCCGCAAATATTTTTCAATGACTAAAAATTACATTAAATGATTCATGACAGTTGAAACTTTGAAGAGAAAACCACAGATCTGATCAGACAAAATATTAAAATAGGTCAAATCAAACCCATGGCTATCTCAAACTGTAATACAGAGATAAAAAACATGCTAAACTCATGACAAGGTGTTTTGGATGGGAGAAGTCCTTTCAATGGAAAGATTGACAGATAGATCGTTTGATCGATCTTCTTACCGCCTCATGTTTTTTAGCAAACAGCTTACATTCCTACATACATACCTCTGGGTATCCCCTGCTTTATGGATGTTCGCTTTACGCCACTTTGCTTTCATATGAAAAACTTACATTTGTAGGACCACCTATCTTTTGCTAACTGTAAGAAATCCAAAAAGGATTTTCACTTTTACGAAAAAAGGTGAAAAACGAAAATAATGTATAGTATTTGTTTTTCAGCAAGCCGTTATAGAGGCAGTGCAAACCCCAAGTGACACCACCAAGCTCCTTCCCTGGGAGGTACACTCAGCATCTCAGCATCAAGCTGCCATAGCTTTTAATTGTATCTGTGCTTTATCTCAAAATCCTTTTTGGATTATTTTCGGTTAGCTAAACTACACTGTACATGCATTATTTCTACTTTGAAAGGGTGTGTATTTATCATGTGATTCCTGCTTTTACTGTATTTTAAAGTTATTTTAGGTTTTATGTGTTATTTGGTATGATTTGGTAGGTTATTTTTTGCATCTGGGAAAGCTCAAAAATAATGGTAATTGCTTCTTTACTTTATGCCATTCCAGCTTACGAAACATTTCAAAGGAATGGTGTAATTTTGGATATCAGGGGAAACCTGTACCTGCAGACATACATACATACAGATCAGCCATTTTTCCAAATCTCCTGAAGCAATTTTAGCGCCCGAAAATGATATGCTTACTCTGTCAGCCATGGGATTTGAAACAGAAACTTTCTGGACAGAGGCACAAACATCTGATCTGTAGAGTTACAGATGAGAGTGCATTGCCTTATAATGCAGGTTTTACAGTGGGAATGCTTACACAGTACACTGTGAGTGTATACGGCCAGTGTACAATATGCAGGTATACATACACAGTTCAGTGGGAGTATGTACCTTGCATTGTTGAGTACTTACATAGCACAGTGTGTACCAGCAATGTGAACGCATACTTAAAAAAGTATGATGTGGATGTGTACATGCACAGTAAAGTGTAAGTGTATAATTAAACATTACAGTGTGAGTGGAGAGTAGAATATGAATGCGCACATGTAGAGCACAGCATAAGTTTATTACCACAACACTGTGTGTACATAACAGTATATAATCCACAGACATGCTGCTGCCAGACAAAGGTAACAAGTTAAAAAGAACCTGAGCATTTTCTTCAGAGACCCATCTGTTTTGGAATGTATAGATTTAACTCCTACCATGCCAATGACCTGAGTGGGATGGTCCAACAGAACTCTGTCAGTTCCTGTCACCTCAGTGCAAAGCCAAACATTCACAGAGAGGTATTACGCAATGAATAAGCAGCTTTAGCAAATAAGAAAATAAATTAGGAGAATAAATTATGTTGTAAGACTGTTGATGCTAAATTGGCTAGTATTCTGTTAAGGTACCGACATTTTGTTTTCCCACATTAAGTAATTGTTAATTAAATGTCAACTTCACCCTGTTGGGCAAGCTGAAGAAATACAGATGGTGAACTGCACTCAACTTTACTACAAGTATAATAATAAATAATCCATCCATTTTATGTAACCGCTTATCTTGATGGGTCACAGGAGGTCCCGAGCCTATGGCTGCAAGACAGGTAATAACCCATGATGGGGTGTCAAATCATCGCAGGACGCATTCACACACCTATAGGCAATTTGGGAACTCCATTTAACCTCAGCATGTTTTTGGACTATGGGGGAAACCAGAGTACCCAGAGGAAACTGAACAACAACATGGGAAGAACATGCACACTCCATTCATGTGGAACCCAGGCAGAAACTCGATCCTGTGTCCTCAAGGTGTGAGCGCTAGCCACTGCACCACCATGCTACGAATAATAATAATATTTTCTGAAAGCACTTGTCCTATTCAGGGTCACAGGGGGTCTGGAGCCTATAGGCACAAGGCAGAGAACAACCCATCGCATGGCACACTCACACAGGCATTTTTGATAACTCCAATTAGCCTCAGCATGTTTTTGGACTGTGGGGGGAAACCAGAGAACCCAGAGGGAACAGAAAGACACAGGGAGATCATGCAGACTCTACACACATGGAACCCTCGTGGAGACTTGAATACTGGTTCCAGAGGTGTGAGGCAACAGTGCTAACCACTGTGCCACCATGCCCAGTAATAATAATAATAATAATAATAATAATAATACATTGCATTTCATATCTGTTATCTGTTATATTGTTGCCTTTACTCTGGATATGGAGCTAGCTACAAAATCACACTTGCTATCTTGGCAAAAGTTTTTACAGTATAGCGTTGGTGATACAATGGCAGTCTTTTAAAAAAGCAGATGTGTTGTTATGGAAACAGTCCTGTAGTTTTGGTCTGCACTGCTAACTTGTCATTGTGAACAATTCTCAGATTTGTTTCAGAGACCCTCGTCCTCTCTGGTCTGCTGTAGATTTTTTGGCCTGGACTGTCTTCAAGTTGTGGAATGCAAAAGTCAGAGGTTTCTGAGCCTTAAAAGGCCATGCAAGAGCTCAAACAAACACTGATTTAGAGATGCGTAGCTCTGTCAAGTTGCTGTATCATGTATTTTTTAACTTAATTGTGATTTTAATCTTTAACTGAGCCAAGATAATAGAACTTCAGCTTCAGTTTATGTACTGTTTCCACCCAAAGCTTCTTTAAAATTGATATTTTTTGTTTTTGCTATAACTTTACATTCACCTGAATTTAAATATATAAACTCCCCATCAACACAGTCAGGTCAGAGGTTGTTCTGTAATCTTTTGCAAAGTTAGGTTACATCTACCAGGACTTCAGCAGAGCACAATATTTGCATAAGGATGTAATCTGTCACACAGCCATCAGTCTGGTCTTGTTTCTCTGGGTTAGTCAGTCAGTTAAATAAGGACTGTTAGCAACAGGATGATTTACTCAAGACTTGGCTCACCATGCAGAGCTGAGGAGTGGGGGTGGGATGCCAGCTGTGTATTAGTGCTCAAGGTACAGAAGGTAGCAGCTATGTGGTCCAAACAGCACACAGCTGCAGTCATGTCCATGAAGGTGCCACACAGATATGTAAAAATGTAAAAAGTACACAAACAGTCCTTCGTACTATCAGTTTAAGATCAGGGAATGTCTTTGCTTAAGCATACTGCTCACACTCTCTTCATCACCTCGGCAACAGATGGAGATCATGGGATGCTTTTGCCAATGATACTGTCATGAATTTCTGAGTCATGTGGTACTTTCTGGGGCAGCTGGCAGCATAGCTGAATGTGTCTGATACCCCCCAAAACCTGTGTGTCCTCCACCTCAGCACCCCCCCCCCCCACCCACCAACTGTGTGCTTGTCAGCTAGCCCATAGCTGATGATTTAAGCTGTTTCATTGTTAGCTGTGTTCCCTGCAGTGTGAGTGCAGTCAGGTTATCCATCTGCAGGTTATCCATCATTTTTCATTCAATGCATCACTTATTCTGGGAGAATCAGCGTAGGGTGTTGTTTCTGTAGCTTGCAAAATCTGTTCCTTTTCACAAGATGTGAGAAGTGTTGGATTACGCTGCCTTACCTCCAGTAAAATTATACATATAGTTTGAAAGAAAAAATATCATGGAAATCAAGATAAAAATGTTTAGAAGTAAATTGCATGAATTTAAATGGAATGAACATTAAAAAATAAATTATGTGAAAATGGCATTATTAGGCAGAAAGACAAAATAATCTCTGCTGGGTTTCATAGAAAAAATGACTTAGAAACAATTAATTTTATTATTTTTATATTTATCCATCCATTGTCAGGTGCTTGTTTAGGGCTGGGTTGTGGGGGCAGCAGTCTGAGCAGAGATGATCAGGCCTACCTTTTCCCAGAC